CGCGCATGCGCGAACTTAAAAACATATAATGTCGAGAATTTAGCAATCGCACCCTGTATAAAAACTCTACCAAAAATGTTCACACATTTCAGGAAAGGAAAAACTTGCATAAATATATTGAATTATTGAAATATGCTAAATATATTGAAGTATTAACGAGATTAATACAAGTTACATTTCGTCTCTGTACTCACAAGAGATGCGCAAAATGGTCGCCTTTATCTTCCAAACATTTAATAGTACGGCGATCTACTGCTTCGGCAGCAATGTCCAAGGTGTCCAGTGGGATTGCTGTATATGTATTTTCAATTTCTTCTCTCAGGGACGCCAATGTAGTCGGTTTTCTGCGATAAATAACGTCCTTTGTGACTTGTTAATGCTACAGGCATGAGAATAATTCCATCAGTTAAGGATGTAACTGCTGTAAAGATTCTTATCGCAATTTGATAAAACTACGCAAGACAAGTTTTTCCTTTCCTGGAGTGTGCATACATTTTAGAAAAGTCTTTATATATGTAAATTATAGATTTTATTCAACTGTTTGGTGTTTTAAATCATGGAATAAAATTAAGTAAAAGTGACTAATGTTAACTTACACAATTCTTCCGCCGCGTAAATTCTTGATACAGAAAGTGTGGATACTTTTTGTCCCAGCGTATTATTCTGTTCAGTACTATATTGGTGAGAGTTTGGGTTTTAATTACTATATCTACAGATATATCCTATATATAATTAGTCATCACAAATATTTTGCTATTATCCTATCACATCTAACTGAAGTCATGTATTTGGCCTCATCAGATCGACATCTTCGTATGGTTGCCATAAATGGCTCTAAACACGTTCAGAATATATAAACTAACAGCTGTATACAAATGCTTTCTCAAATCAATCGTTAAAAACGTTTTCCTAGGAAAGAAGCCTGTAGGTCGTAGCAAGAAACATAATACTTTGTACATTGTGGACAGAGTGTTACGATTCATAAACAAAGACCTCTATAAATAACCGAATCCACAATCACTTGAAGACGTTCAGCAACAACTAGAAGGAAATAATGATATAATTAACATGTTGGCGTTCTACAATACTTTAAACAAAAAGTTAGGAAAGAAAGAGCCGTCACTAGTGGAAAGTGCTGTACTACAGAAACCTATTTCCCTGCTCCTGATATATATATATATATATAGGTCTGATGAATTGGATTGTATTTACGATTCCAATGGAATAAATTATGACCATGGAATATTAGTGTTTAAGCCTTTTTATTATATCCTTACTCTGTCCTAGACATTGAGTTCTACCTGGATTCTTCCTCTTGGAATTTTTTTTCTAAAAATATACATACATGGGTATTTATATTTATATATTTTGCATATATATGTATATTTTCCACTAATATTATCTATCTATCTATCTATCTATCTATCTATCTATCTATATATATATATATATATATATATATATATATATATGTATACCGAAGGTTTCTATATAAGAAGGCGGCGAATAATGTTGTTACCATTATCTAGAAACTGTACATATAATCATATAGTTCAACTGTAATTTATATAGCGTTGAAAGCAGGGATATGATCTTATAGCGCCAAAACGTATTACAGGTTGACCACATTGGAATCGTCGTCTTTATTCCATTCATTGTCGCACAAATACACATAGGAAGTGTATAGATCTATCACATCTCCCAACTTAGAAATTAAGTACAGTACGGTGGTAGCGGCTTGAATCGGAGAGGCAAGTTCGATTTCCAGTCAAATCCATTACGAATACCATTGGGAAAGGTATTAATCTCTTCTTATCCCCCCCTACCAGCTATGGACAGACCGGGTTCTATAGCCTTTGGATGACAGCTGGTCTACCGCATAAATAAATAGCAAACTACTGCGCGTAAAAAAAATCTGCCTCGTCAGTCACGTATCGAAATGATACATGATCGCGTAAGCGTCAATCACGCATGGCACAAAACTGAATTGAGTAAATTGGCAGAGAGGTCTCATCTTTCCACTGTTGAAATTGCCAAGCGTAACACTAAATACTATGCTAAAAATTTCTCCTATCTTACTTCCCGCTTGTGGAACTTCCTTCTGGCACCCTGGTTCTCAGTCAACTTTGACCTTTAAACATCTCCAAGGCAATGACATTCCTTATCTTCTTAATTCATGTTCTTTTATTGCTCTCTGTCCTTAATAGTGTTATTAATAGTTATTAATAATTAAGATAATAATTAGGATTAATAATAATGATTGATAATTATATAATTATAATTATTATATATATATATATATATATATATATATATATATAGGCCTCACACTTATACACTCACCCACACGATTATACACACGTACACACACCATACTCACTCACTCCCTAATGAGCCAAATGATAACACACACCTACAGCAATACACACGCTTACACATATCATACTCACTCACCCCAAGAACCAAATAACACACACACAAACACTAAACAGAGACACATCCCTCACCAGGTCCAATAAAACTGTCAAACTGACCAGAGAATTCAGGATAAAATGTATCTATCCAGCTCTTATCTCAAATAACAACTTAAAAAGACTGTTTGACCAACACAAGGAATGTTAAAAGATTCATGTGAAAAAGATAAAAAATAAAAAACAAATGAAAACTACAGACAAAAGTTCATTTTCTCCAACAAAAGACATTCATTTCTGTAGTTCACTACCAACAGCAAGCAGAAATATTTCTCCTCCCGATGATGGCCATTTCGGTCGAAACTAGTCGAGGAATCTAAATGGAATAATAATAATAAAAAAACGAAAGAATATTAATCTACAACCCAGTGTGTCTAATGATTTTAATTTTTTTAATTTTTATTTTCTTATTGTTCAAAATATATATATATATATATATATATATATATATATATATATATATATATATATATATATATATATATATATATATATATATTTATTAATATTAATATAATTGTTGGGGCGCACCCACCTTCTAACTAGTAATGGACTGGTCCCTCTTATATAAGTCAGCTCTGGAGAGAGAGTGACAGAGCGTCAGAGAGAGTGAGTCAGCGTGAGCAGTCCAGATAAGCTTACCCGGTACATACCGTTGGACTATAGACTTTGGATATTGTTTCGTACTAACCAACCTTCGTTCTATTAATCACTCTATTGTTAATTGCTTTTATGAATATACCAGTATTTTCCTCTACAACTGTGTTTGGCTTGATTCATACACCGACACGCGGGAAACTCACAACATCTCAACAATAATATTACTTTTAATATATTTTATTATAACTATTATATTATTATAATTATATTACATAATATTATTAATATATTATCATTATTAATATATTATTAATATAATATTATTAATATATTAATTAATATATTATTTAATGTATATATATACACATATTAATTATATATATATAATTATATAATAATAAATATATATGATAATAAATTGATAATAATAAATAATGATTTAGATTAATAATAATTAAGATTAATAATTAAGTAATTAAGTCATTAATAGGCCTAAATAGTGTTGTTGCCCTTTGCCCTTAATAGCGTTATTTACATTAAATAACCTACTTACTTCATGGTGGACATTTTTCCCTTACATGGGGTAAAATGATTTAAAAAAAAGGAAGCTATCTGAAAAATTTCTGGGTGCTGATTTATATTATATTTATATATATTTATATTATGGTAAGGCTCGATAATCACTTTCTCTTTTAATTGGATTGTAGTTTTGGCTAAATTAATTCATGCGTATGACAAATACGTTTGCTAAGGTGTTATGTATAACATAATCATTGTGTTAACTAACGCGTTTCTTTTTCAATTTCTGATTGTTTTTCTTGTGTCTTTATTCATATTATCTTTTCACACACATATTTTAAATTATATCTGAATTTCCTCTTTCGACTTTCACGCCTCTGTGACTCTTCTCCGGCTTCTTGTTTGTTTTGTCGATAAGATCTTCCAAATATATATATATCCACCAATTATAGACAAGAATATATCTAAGTGGGTGGCGATTGCTTCCGTCTGTTCTTCAAATGAGGATAGGGCTTACATCTATATCACATTGAAACACGTACGATCCTGTACGATCATTGAAGTTAAGCAAATTCAAGTCTGGTCAGTCCCGAGAACAAATTATTTGAAAATCAAGTAAGTACATATTGTGGGAATATATAGGCTAGACAACGGTCAGTCGTAGACTTGAAGAGGATAAGCTCATAGTGACCGGGGTAGTATCTGAAAGAATCTGATTTGTTGAGGAAAAATCCAGTTACACTTTCATTACCCTGAGTAATTTCGATTTTATATAATTCTGTGGACTTTGCTCCTATTTGCCAACCACTGCAGTCTACTTTCAAATTCTGAGTTAAGATCTTCGACGAAAAAAATGTTTAAACGCGTTTAATGTTTGGACGGAGCTTGGACGAACAAATTGACTTGAACCATCAAAGCTATCGTGTGACTAATTTTTGAATAAACCAACTATGATAAGCGACTCTCTTGCTACGTTTCCATTATTCGAACTGGCGTAATTTTCAAAGGCCATACGTTTATGGATATCACGTTTTAGTTTATCTGATGAGGAATAAATGGAAAAAGTTTTATTTTCTACGCCTGCATCAAATACAATGTTCATATTTCTAGTAACTTAAATTTGATATCACCGCAAGCGGATTAGCTATTTTTCTAGAATATTGTATTTCATGTGGGCTGATTTTATCATTGTCTTCATCCAGAGGAAAGTGTTGCAAGCATACACACACACACACACACAAACACACACACACACACACACACACACACACACACATATATATATATATATATATATATATATATATATATATATATATATATATATATATATATCCAATTATAGACAAGTATATATTTAGGCGGGTGGCGACTGCTTCAGTCTGTTCCTCAAATGAGTAGAGGGCTTACGTCTGTATCACGTTGAAACACCGCTTCCCGTATAATCACTGAAGTTAAGCAACGTCGAGCCTGGCCGTTACCAAGATGAGGGATCGTTTGGAAATACTAGGTGTTGTTGGCTTAGGTTTACGACTGGTGTAATGGGGTCGATTTCCAATTCCAATTTGGGTTCGAAATATGCTCTTATGCACAAATACCCTCGAGAAAGGCATGAATCACATATTCTCCCCCGAGTTATGGGTTAATTAGTAAGAATTTTATTAATAAATCCTTATTATCTCTGCCATTATACCAAAAAAATCTTGAAATCTAAAAATATTTCCTAGCTTTGACTTACCAGAAAAGGGTTGATAAACCGTAAAAACGATTCACTAAAATCAAGCCAAATAAGGAATGATCGAGGATAAGGCAGCTTGATTTTGGAAACGTGGTATTGTATTCAATGTGAATTTTGGGATTTGGCATGATAGATAAAGACACAAAAGATTATTTCCAAATCATTACCGTTTTCTGAGGAAACGAGTTCAAAGATCAATTAAGGTTCAAAATCGTAGCGTTGAAATTTCATTCCGGCGACCAGTAAAAACCTTAAAGCCCAACCTTATAAAACTTAGAATTTACTGAAGCATTACTGTTATACAAGAACATTACCTATTCTATTGTAACAGACTCTCCCACACATAATAAGTAGTAGTAGTAGTAGTCGTAGTAGCGATCGCCAGTTGAGCTCAGTGGTGTTGAGTGAGCCAGTCGATGTCGGATATTGAAGTATCAACAATCACAACTAGATTGCTGCGTCATTAACTCTTATTTCAAGTTCCTAACTTTTTGTCCGTCAGACCCTTTTAGGACCGACTTAGCGAAATAATTACAAATTTTATATGGACAAGATGCATAGCACAAGGACATTATTGATAAATACTCGTGTCATCAAATAAGAACTTCATTTACTTGAAAGGGAAATCATACTGAACAATGTAGCTATATTATGATGTAATATTTCAAACAGTGCAGTAGTTCTAGTGTGATCTTCAATAAACAATGTAAATTTAAAACATTTGTCTTATAATTTGAGCCCAGCAGTATTATAGTGTTATATACACTTTTATCTATATTTGCTTTATTAAGTATGGTCTACAAAAATGATCTAATAAATCTTATTCAGTGAATAGCATTTTTGTAATCTTTTACAACATTTTACACAGATTTTACTTATCGTATAAAGTAAAACAATTTTGCTTCTGGTGATTCTTAATCCTAATTGTAGTTTGAATATATTTTTGATTCAATGTATCGTATGCAAAATATATCAAATTTATTTCGATTTATTCTTTAAATAGTAAAATGATGAGGGCAGTTTTTGAGGAAAAATCTGAGGAAATTATGTATGTCTGTTTATTTTTCAGACTATATTTAAAAATAAATAGTCAAAAGTTAACGCCACGGATTTAATTTTGGTGTCAGTTCTTAACACAGAACACAAAAGCTTTCACATTGAGTGCAATAGCGATCATCTGAAAGAAGTGAAAAAATCAACTTGCTCTAATGGAGGCACAGTTTTATTTATTAAGATTTCTCAAACGAGACATGTTATTTATATCAATGTTTAATAAAATAATAACAGAGACAGCAACTCAAACCCGTTCAACCACTAAAATAATGTATAAAGTAATAAGGAGTATACTGAATATAAATTTATATCAATATATATATATATATATATATATATATATATATATATATATATATGAGCAATCCTTGAATATCCTTTCCATCCGATCCCGGCTTGAAGCAATCGGCCGTCTACCCACACAGATGAGCTGCGTTACAGGATTACTCATATATATATATATATATATATATATATATATATATATATATATATTCTTTGAATGTCCTTCCATCCGATACTATTGCTTATTACTGTAATATATATATATATATATATATATATATATATATATATATATATATATATATAATCGTTGGAATATCGATCCCGGCTTGAAGCTGTCGGACGTCTACCCACAGAGATGCGCTGTGAAACAGAGAAACAGGCTTGTATGTCGAAGACTATTTTTCCTCTTGTTACCCGATCTAGCACTCGCGAGAAAGGCTATTTTTTTTTTTTAAATTGGCTGCTGCTGTTATTAATTACGAATTGAACCCTCTTGGCTATTTGCGTTTGTATATATCTTGTATATAACACGTTAAAATTTCCCGTTCTCCTCTGTCGTCTACCGATAGCTTAGGGGAATATCTCTGATGGCAAATCGGTCGAGTTTAGATCCCGGCTTGAAGCAGTCGGATATCTAGCCACCCTGATGAGCTGTTATACAGCGAAACAGGCTTGTATCTGGATGACAATATATATATGGTATAATGGTATATATATATATATATATATATATATATATATATATATATATATAAATCGATTCTCCCGTCGGGTTCGACGTATGAGGGTCAAGCAGATCAGTTTCCAGGAAACTGACAGCCCGACACCGGCACATGAGATTCGATTATAGTGGTGAAGGTTTCGTGCAGGACCCTCCACACTTTTTGAAGGGCCGAATACAGAAACCTGGTGCACTACGTGCCACAAGGTCCCCAAACGACCCTCCGCAGGTTTTGTTCTTCTCGTAGACCAGTTTCCATCCAAGGCTATAGAATCCAGTCTGTTCTGCTATTTTACCCATAGCTGAAGGGAGAAGAAGAAGATTCACACCTTTCCCAAGGGTATTAGCACGTAAGTGAATGTAATGGATTCAGCCGAGTTCGAATCCAGGTTGAATATATATATATATATATATATATATATATATATATAGAGAGAGAGAGAGAGAGAGAGAGAGAAAGAGAGAGGATAGCTATGGGAACATGTCCAATGCCGATCTTCAATCTAAGTGGAATTGAGGGCTTCCTGACTCAGTCACAAATTCACTGGGCTGATCATGTTGCAAGAAGTGACGACAGAATACCTAAGCTCCTCGTGTACAGCCAACTTGACATTGGACAAAGGAGTGTTGGTTGGGCGTGGTTCATGTATTAAGGCAAGCTAAAGAGTAGCCTCTGAACTGTCAATGTGCTTCATACTAACTGGTGATATTTATGCCAGAGTTGGAAAGGAAATTTGGAAATCAGTCGTATGGACTGGCTAAGAGACGAAGGAGAGTGAGCAATTATTCAAGTTGCCATCTTTCAAGATCCTCGCTGTTGCAAAGTCTGTGAACGTGTAAGCAGGACACTAGCGATGTTGAAATGACACATAAGACACAAACATAAAAACCGAATAAAGTTGTCGGATACTCATAAATCGAAAACAATGGGAGAGTCCTTCAGTCATTATCGTATTTTCTATAGAGAAAAACGTTAAAATTCCCTTCCTTTCTGTCGTGTGATGGCTTAGAGGTAAGATATCTGACTGATGTCAAATAAGTCTGGTTTGATCGCGGCTTGAAGCAATCGGATGTCTAGCCACACTGAGGAGTTTTGATACAGCGAAACAGTTTATATATGCTCCGGGTTATCCGGTTGAGCTCTCGAGGAAAAGGTTTAAAAAAACGAACAAAAACCCCAAAAAGCAAACGAGCGTCTCTTAATGCTCTTAAGCATTACTTTTCATGTAAATTAAAGTGAGTTCTCCGATCCGCTGGCAAAATTTCGTATAGAGAAAACCCTTAAAATTTCTTTCTTTTCTGTCTGTGGATGACTACACACACACACACACACACACACACATATATATATATATATATATATATATATATATATATATATATATATATATATATATAAAAAAAAAAACACAAATCGAGTTACTTTTCCCTAGGTTTTCAGATAAGACGTTTAGCTATATTGACACAATTTTTCATGGGAATCATCTTTGATTTATTCAGCTAGAAAGAGAACATCGTTTTGTGTCAGCTCCACTTTATCCTCCGAACTGAGCAATGGTGAGAGGAAAAGATAGATCATTCAGGCCTTCAGTAATGTTAACACTATTCATACTCTGGCTTCCATTTCAAAAGAACGATGTGATAAGTTTTAAGAGAAGGTACAGTAGAGAGGTAAACTGGATCAGGGGATCACAACAGCAAGTAGGGACATCCTTTCTCCTGAGAGCTAGATGCATCATTAATGCTTAAAGTAGAGGTCAATAGTTCTATAAAAACCTCGCAGAATTCCAGTAAGATATCTTTAATCATTTCTAAGATACACTGGTTCAAAACTGAATCTAAGAATTGAACAATTTTACTATTACATGATTTGGTCAATTTTGCTGTTACACGATATATCACCATATTTGTACAAGAACGCACAACTGTAAAATTTAAAATCAAACTCAGCGTTGCTACTGCACGCTCCAAAAAACAATAACTCATTTCCAATAGCATTTTTCGGATACAACAATAAATATATTTTCGTTGACCTCTTATTACTGAGAGAAAAAACAAGAACAACATCTATTCCATACCTGAAGATGTCTGTAGGAACAGACGAAAGCTTCTAGTAAAAATAAGAACTAATGCAGCAGAAATTTATAGAAACAAGGATCTTTTCATTCATAACAGGTTCGGGGGTTTTTGTATATTATTTGAATTGTTTGCGACGATGGATTTCTCGCCAATTAAATCATTAACCTTTGCATTTGTTTTTGTATGAATAATTCATGAATATATATATATATATATATATATATATATATATATAATTAGGAAAAAGAATCCACGTATGCTTTATATAGTTTATAAAAATAGACTAGAGAAGTTGGTCAATAAAACAAACTCAAGCGAAATGGTACCGTTGAAATCAGTACGAAAATATTTATTAACATTAATCAGGTGACAAAAATGAAGCACGAAGATTAAGGTTTCAAGTTCAGAATTTTCGGACACGCCTGTGTTCTTCATCAGTGGATGCGAGAAATGATGGTTATCTATAAAAAGAACGCATAAACCTAAAAAAAATGCCTTAAATATAATTGTCGCACTTTGTTCATTTAATTTTGTCTGACGTCATTTGTTTACATTTGGATACGCATCGAGCAGATATGAATGTACGAGAGAGAATCATGGAATATTGTAGTTTAAAAACAATAAAATCGACCTTGCTAAC